GCTCTTAGGTTGGAGGCCATTGCTCTTAGGTTGGAGGCCATTGCTCTGAGGTTGGAGGCCATTGCTCTTAGTATTGGAGGCCATTGCTCTTATGTTGTATCCACCTCGCTGGTTGCCAAAAGACCTTCGCCCTGACAGTCGACCCCTCCCAGGCCATGTGAGGCGGGGTCTTTCTGGCAAAGCTTCATCCAGAAGGTCTTGCTTTCGTGAGGAGTGACCTTGGAAACAACACAATCACGCCCTCCCCCCACGTGTAGCAGCAATAAATATAACGAATTGAATCATGCAATAATCATGGCCTCCATCACGACGCAAAAGTCATCAATCGTGGAAATTGGAGTGTTTGGCAGCGAAACTACTGAAACTACATCTCCCCTCAGCTGGTGTTTTTCGACCAAAGCACCTTAAATCAGCTTAAACAACCTTGGCATCTCTGGGATGGTCCAACCCAAACCCGTTGACCTCACCTTGACTGCTCCGTGCGAGACCTCACCTTGGTCCAGAAGATGATGCCCGGGACGACGCACAAAGGCCCGATGAAGGCACCAATCTGCACGAAAGCTAACATGGTCCACCTCAGGTCCCGATTCCAAGGTCACGGTCATCCAGGATTCATCGATGAAGGCTGAAGGGTCAGTTCTTTTGAAGAAGATATATATATATATATTGTAGATTGCCCACACTGGTGCTTCACCCCCACTTCACCAAACTCTTCACCGAGCGCGCCCCGCGCGCTGCTTTTCCTGCACCCTCCGTAGTCGTCCTATGGCTCTGGTCGTCCACGACCAACAAAAGGATCGTCCTCGACCCACCACATATAAGCCCTCCGGTGAGCCTTCCTCGATGCGGCAAAGGCAGCGGCATTCAAGGGATGAATGCACTCCACAAGCACCTGTCTGCAGGTGAACAAGGTTTCACGAGAAATCACGCTCCTAAAAAACTCCTTGTTCTTTAAACACTAGAAGATGAACAAACTTTGGGACGTCTGTCGCATCCAGCATGCATATGGTGCACGATTAGGCCATCAACACAACAACCTCCTTTTGAAGAGTTGTACCCCATATAATCAGGTGATTATTTCCCCTTGGCACTCTGCACACACATGGGCATCCGACGTACCGGCATTCTGCATCCAAGTCTGTCTCAGGCGTCCGTCCGACCTTTGTTTCAAGATCTCATCAAGATCTTTGAGCAGGCATCTTCCATTTGTTAGAAATGTCCGAAGGATGCTAGTATCCATTAATCTTTAGTCAGTGAGTCGGCCATCTGTGCGGCACTATGCACCCATTTATATAATTGTAATTAAGACCCCTTCCTTTAGTCGATCTTTGACCACCAGTGCTTCGAGCAAGGTGCGGTATCGATTTATGTCATTCTCAGATGCTGCGTTCGCCTCCCGAGAGCGAGCTCATTCCCAGAGAGGAACTTTCATCCTGGCAACGACCTCAACCATTGACGATAGCAAAGGGTCCAAGGTTAGCCCCCCTGGTCTGGCGCTTCAAGAGAATCGCTAGGGTTGTTTCGAGCACTCTTGCCTCAGAAACATATGCGTTGTCGGGAGCCCTAGATCAACTGAGTTGGGTCCGGTTGCACTGGCAATGGATGAGAGATCCGACCACTGCATGGAACAAACCTGATGAAACCCTCACCAAGATTACTCTGGCGTATGCAGTAGTAGACTGTAAGAGCCTGTACGACCTTCAGAAAACCACCATACCCCGGGGAATGGATTGGATCCGGATTTCAACATCAGCATGTTTTTTGGAGTCTTCCAGAAGCAGGTTGGCTGTCAAGAGATCACCTGTCGTGGCATTCGGAATTTTGGCCTGCAACAAACTGATGAGTCTGCAAGAAAGGTCCGGCCGTGTGTTGGATGCCGAGGATTGTTCGCGTACTCCCGAACAGAAAACGTTTCTCAAGCTGGTCTATTGCTTGGGCA